GGAGTGTCGGGCCCTATCATTTTGAGCCAGTTCAGCTTCAAGTGCACGTCTGGCCAGAAGTTTTACTCTTGCTCAGGTATGTGCGTGTTGCATTGTGTGTGTGTGTGTGTGTGTGTGTGTGTGTGTGTGTGTGTTCGTACATGTGTGGACACCTGTGTGTGTGTTTGTGTGTCGTGGCGTGTGCGTAGACTGTGTGTGGTTGTGTGTTTACAGCTGCTCACATCATGCACACCGGTGTCGTCTGCTGCAGGCGGCAAGTGTGTTGAGGACCCCCAGGGTCCCTGGAGTCACCCCAACTGCAACGGCCAATGCAAGGCACCGCCACCGCCACCAACAACCACGACGACGGCCACCCCATACACCACCCCACACCCTCGGACAACAGCACAGCCGCTGACCTGCGAAATTGTGAACGGTGGGTGTCATTCCATTGTCACACCAGTGCCATCGCAATACCATCGCCATGCAACACCAACGTGTCCGTCATCACGCGCCCCATTTTGCGACACGCTTTGATCCGCGTGGTGCTGTGACGTGTTCGTACCGGCTGCAACGACAGATTGGCCTTGACTGCTGCTCACTGCCTCTCCTTACCTCTCCTTATCTCTTGCACATGTGTGTGTGTGTATGTGTGTGTGCGTGTATGTGTGTGTGCGATTGTCCACTTGCTGGGTGTACTCCAAGATTACGGCTGCTTTGTGGACACACTGAAGCCGCGCACGCTCCCGCAGAAGGCCGACAACGCCTACTCGTGCGTTTGTGCGCACGTGCTGGAGTGCATGTGCATGTGTGTGCATGTGTGTGTGTGGTGTTGTCACAAGACATGTGTGAGCAAAGGCCCCGCCGCCCTCAGTATTTGTACCGCTCTGGCTTGTTTGTTTCATTCAATTCGCTGCTCAGGTACCAGGAGTGTGCCGCAAACTGCTACGTGCTCGGGTACATCGGCACTGCTGGCATTGAGAACGGCGAGGAGTGTTGGTGCTCAAGTGAGAGCAGCTCTGTTGGTGATATTGCACCCCAATGTAAGTCACAAATGCAAGCGTGTGTGTGTGTGTGTGTGTGTGTGTGTGTGTGTGCACCTTCGTATGTGGCACGAACATATCTTTGGGCTTGTCTTCTCACATGCGTATCCCATCAACAGCCGATTGTTTCAGGCCATGTAGGGACAACAGCACACAGGAATGTGGTGGTCGCTCTCGCTTGAACGAGTTCAGTTTCAAGTGTGCGTCTCATCAGAAATACTACTCTTGCACAGGTATGTGTGTGGGTGTGTGTGCGTGTGTGTGAGTGTGTGCTGTAATGGTGTACATGTGTGGACACGTGTGTGCGTGTGTGTGTGTGTGTGTGTGTGTGTGTGTGTGTGTGTGTGTGTGTGTGTGTGTGTGTGTGTGTGTGTGTGTGTGCAGCTTCTCATATCTTCGCGTCCTGGGTGGCTCACACCGGTATATTGTGCTGTAGGCCGCAAGTGTGTTGAAGATCCCCAGGGCCCCTGGAGCGACCCCAACTGCAACGGTGCATGCACGGTACCAACGCCGTTCCCGCCGCCAATCACAACCACGACCACTTCGACCACACCACACACTACAACAACAGTCCCGACCAATACAACCACGACCACTACCACTTCAACAACAGCCACGACGACCGCCCCACACACCCCTACACACGCTCCGACCCCACAGTCCCTGACCTGCGAGATTGTGAACGGTGGGTGTCATTCCAATGCCACACCCATGCCAACGCTGTGACCTGTTCACATGGGCTGCAACGATAGATTGGCCTTGGCTGCAGCTCACTGCCTTTTTCACTCGTGCGCCTGTGTTGTTGTTGTGCTCCAAGATTACGGCTGCTATGTGGACACCCTGAAGCCACGCACGCTTCCATACAAGACCGACAATGCTTACTCGTGCGTTTATGCATGCCTACTTGAGGAGTGCGTGTGTGCGTGTTGTCGTTTGGCTCTGTCGTGCATGGCACTGTGCTTGTCCAGCCCCACTTGTTCACACGCTGCTGCAACACATGGCACAGGCTCAAGGAATGTGCCGCACGCTGCTACGAACTTGGGCATATCGGCACTGCCGGCGTTGAGAACGGCGAGGAATGCTGGTGCTCAGACGCGAGTGGACCCGTTGGTGCTACCGCCCCCAAATGTAAGTCACGAATGTGTGTGTGTGTGTGTGTGTGTGTGTGTGTGTGTGTGTGTGTGTGTATGTCTGCCTGCCTGTGTGCGTGGTGGCTGAAAGACGACTTCCGCCTGTTCTTCTCACATGCATATCCCACCAACAGCCAAGTGTGACAAGACATGCTGGGATGACAACACGCAGAAGTGTGGTGGCCTGTCTCGCTTGAGCGAGTTCAGTTTCAAGTGCACGTCTGGTCAACAGTTTTACTCTTGTGCAGGTATGTTTGTGCGTGTTGCATTGTGTGCGTGCGTGCGTGCATGTGTGTGTGTGTGTGTCGTGTGTGTGCTTGTGTGCGTGCATTGTGTGCGTGTGTGTGTGCGCGCGTGCATTGTGTGCGTTGTGTCTGTGTGTGTGTCGTGTCGTGTCGTGTGCGTAGACTGTGTGTGGTTTTGTGTTTACAGCTGCTCACAACTCGCGTCCTGAGTGGTGTCGTCTGCTGCAGGCGGCAAGTGCGTCGAGGATCCCCAGGGTCCCTGGAGTGACTCCAACTGCGGTGGCGCATGCACGGCACCGCCATCCCCGCCATCACCACCCGGCCCATCGCCGCCTGCTCCCCCTGGTCCATCACCACCATCGACAACACCAGAGCCCCTGACCTGCAAAATTGTGAACGGTGGGTGTCTTTCCAATGTCACACCCATGCCAACGCTATGACCTGTTCACATGGGCTGCAGATTGGCTGTGACCGCTGCTCACTGCTTCTCATTTATCTCTTGCATACGTATGCGTGTGCCCATCGTGTTGCTGTACTCCAAGATTACGGCTGCCACGTGGACACCAAGACACCACGCACTCTTCCGCAGAAGGCTGGGTTTGCATCCTCGTACGTTCGCGTGTGTGCGCACGCGTGCGCGTACATCGAATACATACGTGTGTGCACGTTCACTGTCACATTCCTATATCTGTATACATTGACACACGAGGGCTGCCTTTATTGCCTGTTCCTCACAGCCCTGTTCCCTGACATCACATGCGTCCTCCACCCCTCTTGCCACTTCCCACCCCTCCTTTTGTTTTCCATGCTCCTTCCACACAGCCATCAGGAGTGTGCTGCAAACTGCTACAGGCTGGGCTTCACGGGCACCGCTGGCGTGGAGAAGGGCGAGCACTGCTGGTGCTCAGACGAATTCGGTCCTGTCGGTGCAGCTGCTGCCACATGTCAGTCAAGAGAGAGAGAGTGTGTGTGTGTGTGTGTGTGTGTGCGTTTGTGTGTGTGTGTGTATGTGCGTTTGTGTGTGTGTGTGTGTGTGCGTTTGTGTGTGTGTGTGTGTGTGTGTGTGTGTGTGTGTGCCTGTTCCTGTGCCTGTGCGTACGTTGATGAATGAGTGGGTAGTCGAGTGAGTGGACTATTGAGGTTCTGAGTAAGAACGAGTGCAATTGCCTCGTGTCTCATGTGTGATTTGAAGGTCGCCCTTCCGAGCTCAGCACTGCAATTCCTTGTTACCACCTCCTGTCGAATTAACCACACTGAACCAACCAACCCACCGAACCAACAGCCGAGTGCGACCGACGCTGCCAAGATCGTCCCTCCTCCCAGCGCTGTGGTGGCAATTCTCGCCTGAGCGAATTCGCTTTCCAGTGCACACCCGGTCGCAAGTTCTACTCATGCGCAGGTGTGTCATTGCATTGTTTGCTTGTTTGCTTGTTTGCTTGTTTGTGTGTGTGAGAGTGTGTGTTTGTTTGTTTGTTTGTTTGTTTGTTTGTTTGTTTGTGTTTGTTTGTTTGTTTGTTTGTTTGTTTGTTTGTTTGTTTGTTTGTTTGTTTGTTTTTTTGTTTGCATGTGACGCTTGCACTTGATTGGGATTGTTCAAGGGCAGGACGAGTCTTCCTGTTTCAGCACAGCTTAAACCATGCCAACTTATCATGTCTTGATAACACCCACGACCGTGCGTGTTTCATGTTGGTTCAAGCCTCTTATTGCGTGGAGGATCCCCACGGCCCCTGGAGTGACCCCGACTGCGGTGGCGCATGCAAGGCACCATCACCAACACCGCCACCGCCACCAACCACGACGACCACCCCAGTGCCTACCACTCCATCGCCACCATCCCCCTCCATGCACTGCACCATCCTTATGGGTACGGGTGGGCTGTTGACGTGACCCTCGCACGCGCTCACCCACAACACACATGTATCCACGCTTTGTTGGTTCTCTCTGTTTTCCCTTGTATTCCTTCATCCTTCATCACACCATGCTCGTGCACGCAATCCATGCTGTCACACCCGTGTTTGCTCGTGACTAGACTTCGGCTGTTTCAAGGAGACGTTCACGCCACGCACCCTCCCCCACTACGCTGGTCCTGTGAAGTCGTGAGTTCATGCACGCGAGCCAGTTTGAGCTGTCCATCGGGTGACATCTTCGTTGCCGCCCTCGCTTGATAAATCTCAATTCTGTCTCCTCACCCAATGTGCACTGACATGAATGCACACACGTGCATTTATTTGACTCACTCGCTTTCACACACACGCACGCGTACATGTGTACACATGCACATACATCCATGTACGCACACAATCTCGTGCATTCACGCACATTCACACACACACACGTGCATAGGACTGTTGAGTGCGCGTCTGCCTGCTTTGACTTGAAGTTCAACGGCACTGCCGGTGTCGAGAACGGCACGCAGTGCTGGTGCTCAGACACATATGCGCCCCTCGGCCCACCTCTACCTTCAGGTACACCACGTGCTTCGTTTGTGCTCTGTGTGTGTGTGTGTGTGTGTGTGTGTGTGTGTGTGTGTGTGTGTGTGTGTGTGTGTGTGTGTGTGTGTGTGTGTGTGTGTGCACGCCAGTTTGGACGCAAGTACTCACTGC